ATATATATATATATATATATATATATATATATACTCTGAAAAATGCCTCTTTCGGGTTTTAAAAATTGTTTAAAAAATTCACAAATAGTTTTTATCATCGGAACTCGTTGGAAGATGTTAAAATACATTCGTACACGATAAGTATCATAAATCTCACAGAACTGTCGAAAATTGGCTAGCATCTTATCTTTGCTACTAAAAAGTAAATTTTTTGGGGATCATTAAAAATATCATTAAAAATTGAAAATAATAGTATTTATCACCAGAACTCTTCCTGAAACACACTCATGTAGAACTATTTGTTTTTTAAAATCCTACAAAAATTTGTGATCAAAACTTGTGTAGGACAAAATGAGACACTGCGTGAACCTAGCATCTCAGTTTGTTTTTTCGCTTTTTTCTGCTTTAAAGGGCAAAACTTTTATAATATTTTTATACGTATAGAACTATAGAGCTATTGAAAATACACACAGAACTCTCAATAATTAGTGAGTTTCCACGAAATGGTACACTAGCTTCACACACACTATTATTTTATTGTGAATATTGATGTAATTAATATTTATTTAGCTGCATCTAATTATTAGATCTACAAATAAGTTCTTTGAATAAATCACCTGTAACTTAGTATAAATTCATATCTTTTTTCTTTTGCTTTGGAGATTCGTAGTATCAACTTTATGATTAAAAAAAAACTAATACATATGGAAATCCCTTGCTAGACGACATTTCACAAACTTTAAAAGTGAGCGCGATGTCGTCACACAATTATGTGAGACATTGTATTCTATTCGCTTTTCAATTAAAAAAGTGATCTCGAAGCAAAAGAAATTATTTGTTCTGCTTTGAGAGAAAATGTGGTATCTGAAAATACGTGCAAAAGGTGGTACAACAAGTTTCGGATGGATAATTTCAATCTTTTCGACTGAAAAAAGTATTGCTATGCATTAGGTGCATGGATATGAAAAATGTATTATACTTTGAGTTGCTAAAATCTGGAGAAACTGTAAGGTCTGAGCGTTATCAACAATAATTGATGCGTTTAAGTGATGTAATCGAACAAAAATGACCCTATACTGGCCAGGGAACTCGTCAGATGATACTACTGCATGGTCTCATTCGGCGATAGTAACCAAAGAATTAATTTATACTTTGGGCTAGAAAATTTTCCATCATGCGGCTTCTCCAGATATAGCCCCTACATATTTCCAGCTCTTTCTTTCTCTACAGCACCATCTCGTTAATACGCACTTTCAAACATCTGAAGAGGTTAAAAATTCCATAACCGAGTTTATTGAATACCTTCTTCTGAGTAGGAATTCACCAGCTGCTCGAGAGATGGCAAAAATATGTCGAAAGTTATGGAAATTATTTTTAAGACTGATATGTGCTTTGATTTTTTATAAATATCAATATTCTGTAAAAAAAAAAGATCAAAACTTATTTGTAGACCTAATATTGTTACCTATATTATTAGAACGTGTTTTATGTACATTGACTGTACATAGATTTCTCGCTTGGAATGTCTAAGTGAACAAATTGCTCTGACTATGTAATATATTATTCTTATATATTATATAAATTACGTGTACAATTATGTATCACGCATATTCTGTTTATAATTTTTTGTCTTTGCTTCGCTCTTTTCGCGCTGCAGAAGGTTCTATCTTTTCGTTTATATATTCTGTCTTTGTGCATGCTTGCCTACCTTACATCGCCGCCAACACACGACAAGCTATCTGGAATGGGATTCTGTATCGTGCCGAGCATAGCGTTGCCCTGCACGTTAGCCACCGTTGTTGTCGGTATGGGATTTTGATAGCTCTGAGACATTTGTTGCGGCATTTGCTGCTGCTGCTGCTGCATTTGCTGTTGTTGTTGTTGCTGTTGTTGAGGTGTAGACAAGGGCCCACCGGGAGTCGGTGGTGCTGATCTGCTGTTCGGTATTGCACCAAGTGGCAAAGGCGGTGACTTCGTACTTCGTGGTGAACTGTTTGGGGTTGATCGTGGCGATGCCTGATGATTCTATCGAGGTAGATACCATTGTGTTACTAATTACATTCTTGTTTATATAAAACTTTAGTATCCCTTTATTATAAACTTCCATATTTCATTAATTCTCTTGCTAATTTCATCTTTAAAGACAGAAAACTGGAACTCATTCAACTTTAACCGTTTAAAGAAGCAGTCTTATAAAATTTTCGTGAAAGTACCTTTAGCATTTTCATTAAACCTTCCAACTGCACCATTAGTTGCCTTCTGGAATCTTGCAACGTCGCCAGATGCGTTTCTAGTTCGTCCTTCCGCTGCCTCAAAGCTCGCAATTCTGACATTAGTGCCGGATTTTCTAAACCCGCAGCTTCTATCTCCTGTTGTCTTCTGTATAGTAGCAAGAATAAAAAATTTTTTGAGAAATTGTTAGGCATAATTTAACACAAAGAAGTGGAATGTATCACATATTTAAATTATTAAAACATAATAATGTTCCACTTCCAATCATTCATCTCATAAGCGTGATGTATGATTAATGTAGTATATGAATGTATTAATGTATTATAATTTATATGATTCAATGAATATATAAGTCAATTTGAAAGAGATTAAGAACGCTCAACGTTAACGAATTCATGTAAATGCTTTTATCATTGTCATGTCTATTTCTATCAATGTAGATTAACTTTAATTTCGGTTTACCTTATCTTTTATCTTCTAGTTCTAAGAATATAAGATAAAAATTAAATTAAACCGAGATTAAAGTTAATCTATATTATCAGAAATGGATATTAATGGCAATATACAATATAAATATGTATCGTTTCTCTCTGTTCCATTGTGCAGGCTATGCAACCAAAGTGACACAAAGCGAAACAGAACGTTCTGAACATGCGTGATCCTAGGATGGGTTGACAGGATGAAATCGAGGTTTAGGTTTGATATAAAGGAATATAAACGACACAGGTATACCTTAACCTTGCTATCTCGCGCATTATCTCCTTGTTCTTTGCCTCCAACTGCGATATAAGCTCACGCTGCGCCCGCGACGCATCTAACGATGCCAGATTCACGTCTGACGGTGCTCGACCCTGTAACCAAAAATATAGTCGCGGATGAAATAATCCGTGATGTGAATTTTTACTGATAATCTAAACAATGTATACTTACTGCTTGATCTGCCTGGGACATTCTGGACGCAGTACGAGGCTGTTAACGAGGCAATTATGAAATTAATATTAATATTAGTGCCAGAGAGAACGGTCACGATAATGGAAACAGTAGAACAAATTTAATTGGCTTTCATGGCTTTTGCAAATTTAATAGATTAAGATAGCAAGAGCATTCACGCTTTTAACGTCAAATTACAACGCCTGATGTAGTAAGCATAAAATGTATGTAAATTTTAAAGGACTTACCACGGTCCTAGCTTCTTGTGCCAACCTTTGTGCATATCGTGCTATTAATTTATGTTCATCATCCAGTCTTGAACTGTCCATACTGGACGATATACAAACGGAATAAGTAAAGCATGGCGTCTGCGCGCAAATGGCAAAGGCAAATAAATTGTGCGTAAATTAAAATTTTGTACAGGCTTACCTTCTCAGAGTTGAACGACTATCCACCGATCCTGAATCAAAGGGGGCCATAAACCCTGGATCTGGAAAACCATTGTGAGATGGTAAAGGTGACGGTGGGCTGGAACATAGTGAATTTATTTGAATTGTAAAATTATGCTGAGACACAATGAGCGATTATAATGCGAATAATAAAAGATACTAACACTATGTGCGATAGATCTAACGTTTTCTCAGGTTGTTCCGGGAACCGCGGTAGGCTGTTCTTTCCCTTCTCAGGAACACATCTGAAACTCTTTCGCAGAGAATGGCCAATCTGCTTGCTTGGTGATTTCTATCGATAAAAATTCATCATTGAAAATTAAACAGTGCAAGAAAGGTTTTAAAATATATAAATATAACAAAAATACGTACAAAGCTGCTATACTCCCTCGTTTCATGATCATTATTGTGTGTTCCTGAAACTTTACCACGCCAGAAACAGTCTTGACATAGCTGATACGAATGGCACTTCTGACATCTGTAGCGGAACCCGGTGAAGTTTTCTTTGTGACAAGCGTCGCACATAATAGGATGAGCAACTGTAAACACGAAGGATGACGTAAAATCTCATCCGCCGATCGATTTTATTGTTAGTTGCTAATTTCTCGCACAACTACCTGTTTCCACGGCCGCCATTCTGTGATACAACGGCAACCAGATTAAGCAGTGTGGTCCAGGATCTGACATAAGTGTATCCAGGAAGTCGTTTACGGTGACTTTGGAGTTCTGTCGCATATAAAGCATTACTTGTTTAATATTAATAAATTAGTTGTTTAATCTAGCAATGTATCAGAGCTGTATATATATGTATAACGCATATGTACCGTGGGAAAAATACAGCTAGCAAGATCGTCGGAATATCCAAACGACGGGGACTCATAGACCGCCGCAGTTAAAGCTAGAACTTCTTTCAGATAATCAGCGAACCTCCAGTGTATCATATGTCCATTGCTATCAGATATTTGCGAGTATATATCTATTTGTAGAATATAAACATCGTTAATGAACTTAGCTTAATGGATTCAACAAATGAACTATCCTTCATCAGTTTTGAACATTAGATGTTGTAGAGCATCAAAAAATAGTATATACTCATATTTTTTATTTGTTCATTTCGAGATTTAGCAGTCGAAATAACTCCTCAAAAGCAATAGATTTTTTCCTTTTCTTTCAATGAATACAACTATAAAATACAACTTTATAACTATAAAATATACAAAAAAATGTTTTATATAAAAATTTTATAGTATTTTATACGCTCTTAATATAACGTAATGTAATTACATTTCTCGAAAATAAAAAATTTTTAATTTATTCCCATCTTCAAGGTTTAGGAATTATTTTGATCCCTAAACCTGTAATTCAAATAAGGAGATAAAGAAAATATGGATCTCTAATATATTTTTTATGCTCTATAACAAAACCCATTAAAATCAGTAAAAGACAGTTCTGATAATTTTCTTGTAAGAGAGCGGAGAAATTACTTACATCGAAATTTGTCCATGAGCTTTCCCGCGCATAATGTTGCCAGGGCCACCTTCACCGAGAACACGGATATCTTATTGTTCTCTCTGCAAGAAAATCACAGTTTAATTGGATGTTGACATTCGTATCTAATAAAAAATGATAATTATGAATAATAAGGCCTTTTCAGAATTTCGACATTTTTTGGTTACAATATTGATAACAATCTTTGTTGTGATTTAGATAGCGATAATCAACCGAAAGAGATCGAAAAATATATAATCTATCTATTTTTTAAATCACTTATTTTCATTATAACAATTTATTAAGTGCGTTTTATAGCATCACGAATGTACGTAATAAATCACTGTAGAAGTTATATTGAAAACAAATTTAAAAAATAGGTAGAATATATATTTCGACTTCCCCAATTTATTATCATTATCTAAATTATAATAAATACTGTTATCAATATTGCAGCAGAAAAATATCGATATTTGGAAAAATCTCTTTTGTACATAATTACTTAAAAAAGTGACAGTTATGTTTATCTTATCAAGCGTACCCGCTGGTATAAGCAGCCAGCAACCAGTTCATCAACAATGCTGTAGTAGCGTCAACTTTAGCCTGTTGCGATACTGGTACTCTCTTGTTCAGTGCGTGAAACAAGGAAGACAGTAGTGTTTCGAGTCTGGATACTCCCAAGGTGCTCGATGGTTCCAGCGTATTCAGACCATTCTCTCGAAATGCCTCGATCACGTTCCATATATCGACGTTATGCACTGCATAAAATCATACATGCGTTATTAAAAAGGTACATACCTTGATTTATCTTCACACAACATTAATTAACGCAAGCCTGAAAGAGTGCCATGTTCTCTTTAAATTCCGACGCTGACATGAAAATAATGTTAATTATCATTAGCATAGCCATATAAGTGAGAAAATTAGCAATTCTTAGTTAATTTTCTCACTTGTCGAGACTTAAAGATCTTTGCCCTATTAATCATCATAAAGGTATAATAGAAATAGAGATAATGAGTATTTTAACAAGTTTACTGTTGAGTTGAACAGATTTTATTCATATGATATATGAGCTCAGAAGTCAAACCGATCAACTCTATTTTTTATAAATTTTTTAGTTTTAATACCAGAACATATTTATAAATTGTATTTTATAATTATTATTAATTTCTATATTAATCTAACATAATAATGTTATTATATAATAATAATAATTAATAATAAGCGACAATAAAGCTCAATAAGTATAAAATGAAAATAAATGTAAAAGGACTTAGAGTCAACTTAGTAACAAAAAATTTAATTCCTAATATATAAAATCAATTGCAAACGTTATTTTTTAAATGCTTTATCTACAAACTTGATCCATAAAATAATTGTGTGTTATTATATGATATGGTTAACTGCCGACACCTTTTATTGATTGATTTCCAACATATTTTAATAAGAAGATATCGTTTTACCAAACATCTGGAGACACGGTAGTGTCTCGGCGCTAAGCCAAGCGCGCGACACTACCGTGCCTCCTTTACGCGAAACTGAGAATTTTTCGGGGTCGAGATGACCAGATCTCAGTAACGGCAAAACCGAACAAGTTCTACATACGCTCAATCAATAGCAAATACTTAAATTGTATGATAAAAGTGCTTTCATTTTTTTTCTACGTGTCCTACAAGCGGAGATATTGCGACGCAAAATCCGGATATATAAATTTTCACGTTTTATTTTTAAGATAAGTCATCGTCATTAACGACGTTGACCAGAGAAAATGTCCATCTCGTTTTTTCGATAATAGAGGGCCTTTGACTTTATGTGTTATCTCACTCTATCTATCTATATCTAACCAGCAGACCAGTGTTGCATGGTGTATCACATATGACGCGCGCGCGATTTTAATCTTATAATTAAAAATAAAATAATATTCAATATAATATAAAATATTTATTAATAATATAATATATATATATTATTATATATATAAATATTAAAATTGAAATATTGAAATATGTTCGTCGTCGAGGAAATATAAGTATCTACGTGTTTGATTTCGAGAAAATAAGTGTCTAGGTGTTCACCTTCGAGGAAGTGGATGTCTACGTGATCGTCTTCGAGGAAGTGAGTGTCTAAGTGATCGCCTTCGAGGAAGTGAGTGTCTAGGTGTTCGCCGTCGAGGAAATGGATGCCTAGGTGTTCGCTGTCGAGGAAGTGGGTGTCTACGTGTTTGATTTCGAGGAAGTGAGTGTCTAGGTGTTTGCCTTCGAGGAAGTGAGTGTCTAGGTGTTCGCCGTCGAGGAAGTGGGTGTCTACGTGTTCGCCTTCGAGGAAGTAAGTGTCTAGGTGTTCGCCGTCGAGGAAATGGGTTTGTTTGTAAGAAACGTCGTCGTCGTCGTCGTCGTCGTAGTCGTCGTCGTCCTTGTTACCAGCTACGGAGTGAGAAAATGCATTCTGGAATTTTTGGCGCAAAAGATAAATGTGGTCGCGACACCCGTCTATAAATCTATAAATCTATAATATCGATCGCTGCGATCTGTACGATCGTTAAAGTCGGATTATTAAGATTGAGGTTGAGAAATCTGTCACATCGATGGCATAGACGGACACGTAAGTGAGGTTAGAATAAATATCGAGCGCTGCGACCTGTTCGATCGTTAAAGTCAGATAAAGAGTCTCGGCAATAACAAAGGATTGAGGTTAGGAAATTTGTCACATCGATGGCATAGAATAGACGAACACGTAAGTGAGGTTAGATATTTTCTGCTTTACTGCTTTATTCATATATGTAGTAGTATCACATATATGGCTTTATTACACATATTCTCTGCTGTAATTCCGCTGTAAGAATACAAATTATTTTCTATGTAATTATTTTCTTTTTACAGCATTTGGTTAAGTTACTTATTTACCGAGATACTACCGTGTTTCCAGATCTGTTATTTATTTGTTTGGTAGATACCTTAATTTGTCTTCTCTATCCCTTATATAATTATAAAAGAATTGATTCTTTTTGTACTTTGTTGATAGGAAAAGTCTGAAAAGAAAAAAGGTACGGATTTAAAAGATTCCTCTCTTTTCTTTCAGGACTTTCCCTTCAATATATTTCAAGATAAAATACAGCACAAAGAATCAATTCTTTTATAATAATAAAGATAAAACTTATTTATGCAGTTACTCAAAACAGAAAATTACTTGGTTTTAGTATTGAAATCTTTAAAACTTTAAATAATTATCTAATAATGAAATATATTATCATGGATAGTAACTGATATATTATTGAAGGTGTCAGTTCAAAGTGAACATTCATAAAATGTGTATCCTTTTGTTGCATATATACGTAATAATGATTTAACAACACATGTACACTAGTTGTTCATAATAGTAATGTTAAATCATTATTATGTATATATGCAACAAAAGAATATATACTTTATGTATGTTTACTTTGAACTGGCACCTTCAATAATATATGAGTCATTTTTCATAGTAATGTGTACCATTTCATTATCTTTCAATAATAAAATGTATTACATTAAAATAGACAATTTGGTATAAGAATTCTTTTAAAATTAATATTGATCTTTTGTGATTTATTTTTAAAAAATTGATATATATATACATATATACAGTTTAATCTCTCACCTAGACTACATTTGATTCAAGATTTTGGAGTGTAAGTTATAAGTAGTTTTCAATCACGTAAATCTTCATAAGTATACATTTACAAATTATTATTCTAATTAATAATTATTATCGTGAAGAAGGATTGTTTTGATAATCAATTTCGTAATAACATTATACCAAAAAAATCTATTACATATAATCAAATACGCCAATAAACGTAATTTTTGAAAAAAATGATTAAAATTATTTAAATTATTTATATATTTTGCAGGTACACAATTTAGAAGTAGTTAATCAAAATGGTATTCAATTGGGAGGAGGAAATACCATAAAACGATAATAATATAAAGATATTAGAGAGATCCGAGTACATTGAAAGTTCTTGATGCCAGTGCTATAATCTTGGATGTGACTAATGCAAAGCTCGTCGAATAAATAAAAGTACATTAAATTCTGAAGGTAATATAATGCAACCGACAATTTTGACGCTAGAAAACAAACTGATATATTATTGAAGGTGCCAGTTCAAAGTGAACATTCATAAAATGTATATCCTTTTGTTGCATATATACGTAATAATGATCTAACAACACATGCACACTAGATGTTTATAATAGTAATGTTAAATCATTATTATTACGTATATATGCTGCAAAAGAATATACACTTTATGTATGTTTACTTTGAAATGGCACCTTCAATAATATATGAGTCATTTTTCATGGTAATATGTATATTTCAAAAATGAATCACAAAAGATCATTATTAATTTCAAAAGAATTCTTATTAAATTTTCTTACCATATTGTCTACTTTAACGTAATACATTTTATTATTGGAAGATAATAAAATGGTAAAAAACCTTGGCATATATAATGAGGTATTCGAGTCAGACGTAAAGTTGGGAAATGCTGGTGTATGTTTACTTTAAACTGGCATCTTCAATAATATATGTGTCATTTTTCATGGTATTTGATTATATTTCAATAATAAAATGTATTACGTTAAAATAGACAATTTGGCATAAGAATTCTTTTAAAATCAATACTGATCTTTTGTTATTTATTTTTTAAATGTAAAAAACTGTTATAGTTTGGTCTCTCACCTAGTTCAAGATTTTAGAGCGTAAGTTAACCAGTTTTCAATCACGTATATCTTCATAAGTATACGTTTACAAATTATTTTTCTAATTAATAATTAATATCGTGATAAACGATTGTTCTGATTATACCAAAAAAATTTATTACCTTTATTAGCATATTTGATTGTACGTATGTAATACATTGGAATAAATACACTAATAAACGTACTAAGTGTTTTGGTATAATATTATTACGAAATTGATTAACAGAACAATCGTTCCTCACAATATTAATTATGAATTAGAATAATATTTTGAAAATGTATACTTTATGAAGATACACGTGATTGAAAACTGTAACTCACACACATGTGCTTCAAAATCTTGAATCAAATATAGTGTTCTAGGTGAGAGGTCGAAATAACAGCTTTTTATATTTCAAAAATGAATTATAAACGATGAGTATTAATTTAAAAAGAATTCGTATGTGCTCCACAATCTTGAATCAGATATAGTGTTCTAGGTGAGAGATCAAAATAATAATTTTTTATATCATATTTCAAAAATAAATCACAAAATATCAGTATTAATTTTAATAGAATTCTTATACCAAATTGTCTATTTTAACGTAATACATTTTATTACTGAAAGATAATGAAATGGAAATTAATATGTATATAAAAAACCTTGGCATACATAATGAGGTATTCAAGTACATGTTCCAGTTAGACTTAGTCAAATCAGAAAGTT